GGTGTACATTCTTTCCAAAACTTCTCTGCTGCTTTTTTCCATCTTAAGCTCTGGATGATCTCATTCGCCATCTAGCTGTCCCTTCCAAGTTCTTGGCTTCAGTGAAGCCTGTGGCAATAAGTTGCACAGACTGTGCAAAAGCATAATCCGCCTGTGGAACTCAATGCCACTAGATACTACTGATAACACAAACATGCCTTAATCACATCAAACTCAAGAAAATTTTGACTAACTTAGATTTTTTTTTAAATGTTGTGGACTCTTACATGAATAACAATATTCAGAGATGGGATGATCTCTCTAAACCACTGTCTCATTCAGCTGGAGAATTAATATGTGCTGCTTAGTTATATTGTGTTTCTTGGACTATTAATAAAAACCCCTTAAATCTTGGTTGTCATTACTTTGCATTTACCCAACAAACACTGAACGTGCAGGACGGGAATGACTGTAACAAAATGACTGCGTGTTATTTCTATGTATAGATGAAACAGTGAACTGAAGAAAAAACACCTCTCATAATGAAACCAGTCCAAAAGTACATATTGTTCATTGCTTGCATTTCTTTCTCCTTAACAACATGCTTGAATGAATGCACATTTCAACCATATTCCCCTAATGGCTACAGAAGTTTACAAAACTTCATCTGGCTTAGTTATCGATAGAGCAGAAAAAAAACTCTGACTCAAAACAATGCCTAGCTGTGATAGCCAAAGGACACAAGATTTCTTAGCCAAGCCACAAAATCCACTGGCATTATTCTGGCTCTTCTGCATAGGCTTTCTTCTATCCGCAAAAATGAGCTGCAGCTATCCGCATCCACATCTCCAGATATAAAGCAGATATCTGCACATTTGCAGGGCTCTCTACTTATTCTGTAGAAATGTGTGGTGGTTGTTAGGAGAATAAGAAAAGAATATATTTTCACAGGGTTTCCTTTACCAGTACAGTCAAACCCTTGTAGGAGAGCTATCTACTTCATCTAACGGGTTTTTTTTATTCTATTTTGGGGAATGCGTCTAGTCAACAGAACCTATTGACTCCTCTTCTCTGAGCCATAGCCAGGAAATACACTTCTCAAAGGGTCTGAGGACCAGATTCTTTAAGGGATTTAATTGCCTAAAGAAGGAGAGAGACATTTAGTGGGATTTTGAGAGAATCCCTAAGAAGTACGGGCACGTAACTCCCACTGATGTCATACCACTGTTTGCCACCTTTTCTCCTCTGACAAGTTGGTCTTGGGTCCTTTGTACCCCTGCCTTGTGCCAGGCTACCATCGTCCTCCTTGAAACCCCGTGAGTCTAGGAAAATCTCCCTTTGTATGTGGCTCCATGGCAGACTGTTCTCTGGCACTGTGCTGGTGTTCTAGAGGGCCATTTGGGTGATGCAAAAGAACATTTTTATTCCTCTTAGCGCACACGTGTGCGCACGCACGCGCCCACACACACGTCCTTGCTGGCTGTATGGTGGGCCATTGTAGCCTCAAACCCATGTTTCTAGCACAGCTAGGAGAAATACACTAATTGCTGCACCATTTTATTTTATTCTTGTTAATTGGCTTTGCTGAGTGTGTGGGTTTTTGTTGTCATTTGGTTTTGGATGGGCTTTTTTTTAATTTGGGGATTTTTTTTTCTTTTGAGTTTAATTGACTCTTTCCACCGACTGTCATCTTATACTTACCAACATATTTCAACTTTTTATTTAAATTCCTGCTTTTTAAACCACTTTTTTAAAAAAAAACCCTAACATTTTTTTGGCAATTCTAACATGCTTTTTCTGCTATCTTTGCTTCTTTACCTGCGTTTCATCTGTACGCTGCAGAAGATACTAATCTGATATCAGGCTTTGATGTTCCTGAAGGCCCTGAAAAGGTGGCAGAAGATGAATTTGACCCCATCCCAGTGTTGATATCCAAAAATTCACAAGGTAAGCCAGGATTTTTAAAAAAAGAACACATGCTGGCAACCAGTTTCTTGGACAATCATGCTATGTCGTACACCTACATTACATGCAAACTCTATCTCCTTAATGGTCAGTGAGCCTCATTCTCCTCTGGTGTGCACCAGTTTCTGCCTGCATTGTCTCTTAAACTACTCCTGATTTTCAAATATTCGAGAGGAGCATCAGGCTCACTGAGACAAGGCAATACAATAGCGAGAAGAATTAATTCGCCACTCACTCTCTGCCATGGCTCACGGATTGAAAACTGCTGAGAAAGGGCAATGAGGTTCATTAATTCAAACATCTAGTCATCCCAGGAGTCAGCCAGACATCTCTTGCCCTGCCACAAGACTCTAGCAACCAGCTCACCTATCCATTTATATGTATCAATTATATGGCATAACTTTGCTCAGTTAGGCCCTGATCTAGTGCCCCTTAAATGGTAAGGCACCCACGGATGTTAGTGGGCCCATGAAAGAATGGGCAATTGATTTGTCTTCAAACCCCTTCAAAAGTGAGTTCATTGCTTCTGGCTGGGATTTGTGACAGCACTTAGGAGAGTTAGATGCTTAGCTTCCAAAGAATTCCCCTGGCACACAGGCACCAGAAGCTATATGGCACATCTGAAAATTCCAGCCTCTGCCCGTTGAGTTCCTGCCATGTATGTCCATGTTATCATCCTGTCTACAAACCATTGTTCAGCCTTATGGAAGGGTGTAGCTATTAAGAAGCATTGTCTCTCTTTCAGAATAAAATCAAGTGAATGATGCTTCGTTAATGGGCATGGCAGGCTGGATTTTTTTTTTTTTAACAACTCCTGACAAATGTGACTTGTTTCTGAAGTTTGACTGCGGTGAAAATGTTTCTGAAGTTCAGAAACAAACACAGATTTTTATAATCTGATCCATTGTTCTCTCTTTGGCAGTAGAACCCTTGCCTTTTGTAGTTACCATATATTCTGTCTTTCATAGCATAGTGTGTGCTGCGTGCCTGCTCTGCGGCTAATATTAGCCTTGACAGAATGACCCCCGTTAGGAAAAATCCCAAGTAATTGAGGGTGGGGTTTTTCAATACAGCTCTGCTGACAGCTCTGCTCCCATGTGAAGTTAAGTCAAAAGGGAAGTTTTACCACTGACTGAATTTAAGCAGAGGTGGGCCAATGCTGATTACTTTTTGCAATGCCCACCTAATTAGAGAGAGAGTCTTTCTAGAGAGAGTGACATAAATGCTGTGGAGTTTTTACAGGAAATCTTTAAAAGTCTCTGAAATGGCTGTACATTACTTAATAGTGTCTTGTAGAAATTATCCTTCAAGTTCTAGAATTACTCCTAAAGACACAGAAAAACAGGGTACAACATCCTTTCTGTAGAACTGTTAACCCATCCTTTAGAAAAATCTAATTGCTAAAAATCCTATAGAATCCCATTGATTGGAACCCGGTAAAGTTCTGTTACTTTTCCATGAAGACCCTATTGTATGTGAAGCTTGTCTCTTCTCCCGCCTTCCCCCTCCCGAAGTCAGTGTAATAAAAGATACATTAGCTGACTCACCTAATCTTCTCTAATACCCTTGGTACTAGCACAGCTACCACAACACTGCGTATCAAGGTACCTATAACATAGAATAGCTCAGCCCCAGCTAAAGTCGTGTTCTCTGGTTATTCTTTCTTTGCTTGTGCTTGAACATCTGAAACTAACCTTTGTGTGTACTGAATTCCTATTCCTATCTCTCACCCTTCCAGGTGGGCATTCTAGAAACAACAGTGGAAGCTCTGAATCAAGTCTTCCCAACCTAGCCAGGTCTTTACTGCTGGTGGATCAGCTCATAGACCTGTAGCAGTGACCCAGTAGCAGACGCAGTTTCTGTAACGTACCTAATCTACGTTTCATTTCCAGAGGAGTTAACCTTCAGGTTTTTGGGGGGTTTTATTTAAAAAAAAAAATCTGCAAACAGAAGGAGACTCAGACAACCCTGTATGTTCCCAGCTCCCCAACCAGGAATGGATTATATTTCTGTCCCACCTACCCCATAATCCTTTCTTCAGTTCATCCCTGCTGCAACCTGCTATGATTCCTTGTGCACCTGTCTTGACTAGCATACGTCTAACGGAAACACTATTCACCATTATCCACTCTGCTGAGATTTACACATAGCTCCACTGACAGCTTAACTGTAAATGAGTTAGTTAATTGTAGTCTATGTATGATCCTTGCTAGAAATGGCATACAACAGAAATTTCTTTTTCCTTAGGTTAGAGCGCTAACGTGTTTTACCTTTTTGGGGATGAAGGGAGGCTTTCTGACAAATGGGCAAAAGGAAAGGACACACAAAATTGCTAGAACTGTTCATCTGTTAGAAGATGAGTTAGAAAAGAAGTCTTTCAATTGGCAGTGTAAGCACCATTGGGGGGGAAATAAATTGGGTTTTGCTGCAGTAAACCTGCACTGTAAACGTAGCGATCATGTAAATTGAGATGGTTTTCCACTCCCTATCTAAAAGACTGCTGTGTTATGATCCTGCTTACAAACGGATTGGGCTTTCTAAAAAAATAACCCACACTGTTAGAGTTAAAGAAATGACCCCAAGTGAAATATATCACGATTGAGAACCAAATACATGCAAGCATGGCTGTAGTGTCTTTTTGCTGAATGAGCTATTGGCTGAAAAGAGCATTACAGTAGCAACGGATGTATTTTCTTGTTATTTTTGTGTGCGTGAGTATGTGTGTGTTGGATTAAAAAAAGCAAATTGTAAATTGTGTACAAATCAAAAAGTCCAACTGTTGTTTGGTTTTTTTTTTTAAACCTGGCTTTCAGTCAAACGTCTCGTATCTGTTCTCGGTTTTCCTCTTTTCCCTTGTAACTACATATAGTGCAACATAGTTAAGTCTGAAAAATGGTTTCATTAGACAAGTTACTGTAAACTTGCATCTTCAGTCGTTGTAGAACAAGCATGCACTCTCTTCAGACAGTTGGAAATGAGTGCTGACCAGCTCAATACAACTTGATGGTATTTACCTTTTTTCTTTTTGCCTTTACATGCTTAGTTTGTCAACTAACTGGATACGCTAAACTTGTTTTCATTGGCTTATGATCTTAAAGTCCAGCATTCCTATCCTATATTTGAAAATTCTTCCTGAATAAAATAACTCTTCCTCTGTAGTGGAATAATTACTAGCTTATTGCTAACCTTGTGTATGTGTATGTAGCTGTATTAGTAAAAGTGCGCATTCTCATGTGTGAAAGGATGAATGACTAAATAATAGATGTATTGACCTCTTTCTGAGAGGGAAAGACATTAAAGTCTGTGAGCATTTCTCTCCTATTTCCACTTTCCCCCCTATTCTCCCTCCCCTGCCACCAACATTTAGTTTAACAAATTCTGTAAATAGAACTAACCATCAATTGTCTGCTCTCCGTTAATCTTCTTTGAAGATCTACACTTCATAATAAAAGTAGTGCTTAAATGTGTTGTATCATTACATGTGTAATACTGCACTTTCTAGAAGCTTTACATATGAGAGAATTATGGCAATGATCTTAGAGCGATGTCAATAGAATTTTATTTTTATTTTTTGTTTTATTATTATTCCTAAAGCAGGCAAATTGGACTGGAGAACATGAAAAGCTTTAGATAGAAAGTTTTATTGTATAGCCAGTAATGAAAATACATGAACAAAAAATGGATTTAAAAAAAAGTAACCATCTACTGTATATTAGAAACCAAGAGATTTCTGTGAATTAAAGTACTTTTAAAGAATGTTTTAAGATTTTAAATCTAATAGAATTTGTTTTAAGTGTTCCATAATCAAAATGATAAAAACACTGGGTTGTTTTGGGATAATGCTATTGAGTAAACAGAGGTGAATGTTCTTTTCATGGTTTTTAAAATAGCTATTCATGGATCTGGGAAATACAATACAATGGAAGAATAATCTTTTTATAGAGGTGTATGATTTAGACCTGACTCATAATAAAGGACTTGACGCTGATAAGTAAATGTTACAGAAGAGAGATGTGGAATGGAAAATGAAAGCAGCATGAAGACTTCCGTTGGCTTAAAGGAGGGGGATTAATTTTTAAAAGATAGCTAAAACTGTTGTCAGCCTGCAGATATTAGGTTCATGTGGTGTAAGCTACCCAACTGGGAAGAAGTTGAGTGAAAATTGAAAGAAAGGCACAGAGTGAAATTGTCATCCAGTTTCTATACCAAAAAAGTTGGCATCCATGACCCCCCAAGGGGCATAAGAATACATGTTTACAAACCACTATAAAATGTTCTAACAGTCATTAAAACGAGAGTGGGACAAGTCACATGCATGTCTATCTCTTCCAAGGATTGTTCCTCCAGCTCGTGTACCAAAATGGGCAGAAAACGACAAGTGAAGTAACACAAGTGCTAGTTAGTAATGCCATTGATTCGTAGGACAATTGCAAAGGAGCCATCACCTCCTGTCCTTAGGTCACTAGTGAAGTTCTTGATGTTGGATTTCTTTTGTACCTTAATGGATGCTCCTATCAGGATTTCATACTTGAAAATGCAGCCACTTATATAAAAGTCCCAATTCCCCTTGCAAGGCAGATGTAGGACTTGGTGTTCTTCAGTGTCATGTCAGGAGCAGAATTATTTGTGGACCTCCAATTTACTGCACACATTGGTGAACAGTTAAACTCTGAATTTAAACAATTTCTGGAGTTTCTTCTAGTGGCAAACATGATGTGTCAATTCCTGGGTTCTGTTGTCACATTGCAATGGGCACTTGGCACTTCTAGAAAACCCTTCCATTGAACACAGCTGTGGTGTGAAAGGGACTTCTTCTGATGACCCTGCTACCGTTTGAACGGGAGTTAGAAAGCTCCCTCTCAACAGCCAGCCAGGAGCTAGCACTGCCTGAAAAGATTTTTCTGTAAAGCCATTTGAAAAGGCTGCATCAGTGGAATCCAAGCTCAGACGAGAATCGGGAGGCCCAGGCTAGCTTAGAAAGT